ACACCACAGGGACTACAATTATGACAGGACATTTCTGATACATTGTACATTTCATCACCCTTCAGAAACCAGTGGTTCAAACTGAAAATAAAACTTGCACTTGGCCAAAACTGTATTTCAGAAAACCCCCTTCATTAAACTTGAAACACCTTCCTTGGAAGGCTAGACTGGAAGAGAATTAGTAATTCCATGATCAATCAAAACCTTCTTTTGTTTCCCTTGTAAGTACAAATAAAATTAGATTTGTTTCTAAATCAAATTCCCTACAAGATATTTCATGCATTCAAATTTTTGGACAATAATTAATAACAATTAATTAAATTGAACTACAGATTTGTTACAAAGTGGATCACTGAAGCCTTAAGGAAACTTGAGGTTATCAGTTGATGTTAAAAAATAGTTACCATCAAAAAATATCTGCACTAAAAAAACCCCAAGCAAACAAAAAACAGAGCCAAAACCCAAAATGCATTTTGTCTACAGTATTTTTAACTTCATGCAACAAAAGAGCTGCCATTCCTGGCTAAACAAGTGTCAAGAAGGGTATTATTAGAACAGCTTTATAAATAAGAGGTCTTTGAGTTTAACAACTACAATTAAATATAAATGGGAATTAAGAAGCAAGACTGTAAGTCAGGAAAAAAAAAAAAATCAGTACTAAACATTTTGTTCCCAACCAGTTTGTGGATATCCACAGAGATAAGAAACAAGCTTCCCAAGACATCATAACTTTCCAGAAGGAGCCACCACAGTATTAAGCAAGTTTTGTGTAATCAAACAAGCTACCACAGGACAGAGCTGTTAATCCTATTCCCTTTTGGGAAAAACACCTTAAGGAGAAATCTCTACTATCCCCACTAAACCTAAGTATTTCAAGGTTGTGTTCTAATGTTTGATCCACCTTGCCAGAAATAAATCATAAAAACTCTAATGAGAGGTTACCAAAGTAATTGTCTTTTTTTACATCTGAATCAGCTTTCCCCCATCACTCCTGACATATGTTTGCCTGTTGAGGTGACAGTCTACTAATGAACAGCTTATAAATAAGTTCAGAAAGTTTATTTTCATGCTTCATTATTCCTAGCCATAAAGAACAACATCTCATAGTGACATGGAACCATCTTCTCTGCTACCACTTGAACTCACTACTTCTGGCAGTAATTACCCCAAGACTGGCAAACAAGTTATTTGCATTCTTCTTTGCATCAGATTTGACAATTTCCATTTCTTTTTTCAACAACTTCAGATTTCACTGAGTCTTTCTTCAAAGCTCTGACCTTCCAGACTTTATATCACTGCTAGTATTCTGCTCTAGAGTCCCCTCAGCCAGACCATCATTTCTCAAAGCTGTGACCCAAAGTCAGACAGTATTAACCATGGCCTTTCCCATGCTACGTAACAGAGACAACTATTTCACTTATCTTTTGAGATATACTACTGCAGAATATTAGCTACAAGATGCTTCACATCCAGCTCCACTTTAACTTGTCCTCACAAGTAAACAGGGTGTCATTCACAGACTATGAAATTATTTCAGTCACAGAATACTAATGCATGGAAACGTAATTGAGATTGAACATAAAATGTATTCCCAAAACTATAAAAACAATGAAGAAAAAAAAAAACATTCATATGGTTTCAAGTTTCCAAATAAGTAGCATGTTTATGGTAAACTCTTTCGAGAAACAGACACTCTAATACCCAGCACTATAGGTTCCCTAAGTGTTACTACAACAAAATCAACTGCACTTTTACTTCATGCACCTACATTACATTAGGAGAATCCATTACTTATTTCATATTGCGATGTTAGAGGTGCCTTTTCATTCTATCTTCATTTTATATATCTTTTCATCCATTCTCCACTTTACTCTTAAATCTGTTTAATAGGATTAAGGTTTCTAAATTTTTAACTAATATTCATGCAGGATAAACTCCAGCATTGCTGCCTAGAAGACAACAATCCAGCAGCTCAGGCCCTCACTTCACAGCCTTCAAACCGGTTTCTGTCTTACAAAGAGCAGTTAAGGGTACAAAGCTCCGAGTACACAAAATCCCATTTGAATTATTTAATATTGCTGTAAATAATCTCTAGCAACAAGAGCAGAACCTTTCCTTCCAGCTGTCACACACTCCTTACTATATCAACAACCCTGTAATGCTCTGAAAACCTTCCATCCAAACAATCTCTTGTCCTGAGAATTCATGCTGGGGAAGAAGCCAGCCTCTGTGCCTGTGGTCGCCAGCTTGCATCCAAGGCCTCCCAGCATCAGCAACCAAACAGGGAGTGGGAGAGGAACAAATTCCTTCTAAATGCACTTGCCCCTACTCTTCCCAAATCCTTCTGTCTCTGAGAAGTAGCCATTTCCTGTATATTTTCCATGACTGCATGGACAACTACCCTTACCAACTCTGAATTTTAATATAGGGGGAAAAGATGTAGCAATTATTATACTATTTATTAGAAAAGTTATAATACTCATTATTAGAAGATTTTTAGCAACAGCACTTAGGCTACAAAAGCAACTTTTAAAGGCATAAATTCAACTTTTAAAGGCATAAATTCACTATTTGATTAAGAAGTGGTCATGAATTTAACAAATATGGCTTAAATTTGTTTTTCAAAGCCCCAGCCCTTGGGAATTCATGAGGGAGAGTGATGTAGTTGTAACCAACACAGGGCACTCAACTACAATCTCAGAACAGAACATCTCATTTACCATAGCATTTTAACATGTAACAAGTAAGGTGTGCAAGATGACTTCAACATCTGCCAGAAATTCTTGTCTGCTCCCATTTCAAAAGCAGAAACTGAGAGCAGGACTGAAGGCCTGCCTTCTGGAAATCAGGACTGCATTTCCCTAAAGACTAAAGGAACTGAAACCTTTTCAGGTATCGCCTTAAATAAGTTAGGTCATGCTCCTTGAGAGGGCTCCACAGCAAGGTTACTTTAAAAGATTGCGTTTACCTTGTCTTGAAACGATGAAACAAAACACTAGAACATGTACTTATATAACAGCCGTGAGTCAGTTACCAGCACTTGAGTATTTCTCTGACTTATGTCACTTTGAACTTGCATTACACTTTAGGTTGGCTTGTTCTAGTATTAAGGATAGTTTCCATTTTAACTGTATCAGCAAGTTTTTGGGCTTGAACTTCATTAAGGTAGAGCTTTAGGTGAAGTAATAGGTGTACTTATACAGTAAACAAATCTAATTACCTACAACTTGAGGAAGAACTAGTTAAGTACGCAACAAAACCACATCAGAAAACAAAAACTCTACAACCAGCTCTGCCTTGAGACCCATGTGCTTCAGTGTTTCCAATGTAGAAGAAGTTTGCTTTTAAATAATCCACGACTATCCCTCACACACTTCCTAAATACTTACACCTGTACTGGCAACCCATCAACCCTTCGGCTCTGCAGGTGTTCCACATGCTGGACCACTTATCTCTGTCTCATCCAGGATGGAAGCAGGAGCAGCCACGCTATGTAATTTGGCATTTGGAATCAAATCTCATGACTGACAGAGTCTCAAACATTTCTGAAGTTCAAATGACTTAGAGCAGTTTCACAAACACCCTCTTCAGTATGAAAACTGTTTTAAAAAAAAAATTCTTTCCCCTGCCACTGCTTTTCCCTCTATTCTCTCCTATACTTCAGTTTAAGCAGTTCAGCTGTATTGATGTTATTGTTTCAAGAGCCACAATATAAACCAGTTATTGGATTAATTCCATACATATTTTTTTAATGACAGAAATAGCTGAGAAATTCAGAAGCTTTTTAGCCTCACTTTGCTGCTAAAAGTGTATGTGAAAGTCCACTCTTCAGGTGTTTGGGTTTCTCAACCAGCTGAGAGCTTCTCCTTACTCAGGAAAGTTCAGACTGGACTGGCATTACTCAAGGTGTTTAATCACCGTGCTGGGTAGGTGTAAAATAGATGTGTACTGCTGAATTTTGCCTACCTTCAGCAAGCAAGTCAGTCAGGAACTCCTTAGGATGAGGGAATCAACCTCATATCTTGCAAACATCCACAGGGACCGACTCTTTCCCTACTTCTCCTTTCTGGACATCTACCCAGCATGAGCTCTAGCACTTCCCAAGCTTCTCAACCCACTAATTCCACTATAATCCAGTATGCTATTTATCAATAAAATGGATAAATAAATCCTCCCCAGTCTTTGGGGATTTGGGAATCAAACTGGACCCCTCTGAGAGGAGCTGGTCCAAGCCAGCTCATTTTCACTGCTGGAGGCTGGAAAGGAGATGTTCCCAGGTAGGCTTGGCTCCTTGAAGGGCCACAAGGCTGCTCAGAGTCGAGAGGTTTCGTACCAACTGCACAGACACTCCAGGGAAAGCGGAGCTGAAACACTCTCCAGCCGGTAACGCTGAGAACAAAACAGCAGAGCTTCTGGCATCTGTATTTACCTCCAGAACAGACTCGAGGCATGGCATCTGGCAGGCTGGTCTGCCTTGGATGCCTACAGTGCTTGAATCTGCGAAGCACCTTGTGTTGTTACCGCACAGTTTATTCCTCCTTCCGAAAACATTGCAGAAGCGTCTGCAACTCACACTTCAGCCCCAGCAAAACAGGTAGTACCGCTCGCTCCCCGTGGGATTGGGAAGTTAAGTAATAAGCCCCAAAAACACAGGAAGTATTTAAGAAAGACACCAACCAGAGGCCTGACATCCATGGTGCCCTGTCCGTTAACATTTCCTAAGACGCTTTGTGCAAAACACGTCCACAAAAGGCACGTCCGCAGAGCGAACCGAGCCCAACCTCGGGTTTAAAACGCATTTCGAGTGTTTCAAAAACACCGGGGGCAGCCGATGGCAAACCCCCGCATTACCCTTCGCGGGACGCGGCACCGAGCCGCGCTCCTCCGCAGCCCGGCCGGGACCCGCGCCCTCCCTCCGCGCCCGGCCCCGCTCCCTGCCCCCGCCGGCACGGCACGGCCGGGCCCGGGCCCGCGGGCGGGCGGCCGCCGCGCGGCCTCACCTCCTCCGGGATGGCCGGGTCCCCGCTGCCGCCCCCCGCGTAGCCGGCACCGAGCGCGGGCGGCTCGGGCTCCATGTCCCCGTTGAAGAGCGAGGCCCCCTCGGCGCTGCCGCCGCTGCTCAGCGCCGCCATCTTGGGCCGGAGCGCCGGGGCGAGGGCGGGGCCGGGGGCGGCCGCGTCCCCGCCACCGGGGCGGCCCCAGCCGGGACCCGTAGTGCGAGGGGCGGGCGGCGAGCGCGCTCCCGACCCGCTGCCAGCGCCGCCGCCGCGTCACGGCCGGCCTCGTGACGTCACGCCGAAGCGTCGCAGCCACGGCGCATGGGTCCGCCTACGTCACCGGGGAGCACCGTGACGTCACGGCGCGATCGCCCCGTCGCCCTGGGAACTCGGACGTGGGCTCGGGCCCCGCCCCCTCCCCGCGGCCCCGCCCACCGCCGCCGCAGCGCCCCCCGGAGGCGCGGGAGCGCAATGGAGGCCCCGCCCCCGCCGGGCCGGGAGCGGGGACCGGGAATGGGGATCGGGAGCGGGGACCGGGGGCGGGAACCGGGAATGGGAACCGGGAGCGGGGACCGGGAGCGGGGACCGGGAGCGGGGACCGGGAGCGGGGACCAGGAGCGGGGACCGGGAATGGGAACCGGGAATGGGAACCGGGAGCGGGGACTGGGAACGGGAGCGCCGCGGCAGGAAGATCCCCGCGCACAGCCGCTGCGCGATCGGGTTGAACAGCACTGGCGGGGGCTCTGCGGGTCCTTCCCGGCCGCGGGGAGACCCGGGGTGCGGCGGAATCCCGCGAGGAACGGACGGGGCGCCGGGCATCCCTCGGCCCTTTGCGGTGAATGCTCCGAGCACAGCCCGTGCGGCAGCGACAGGCAGGCTCCAGCGCTGCCGTGATCACCTGCTGGCCGTAACTGTGGTGATCACCGCTTTAAAGAATCCATCGCTGGCATCCATACAACCTCCCTGCTTTTCCCACTGACAGACTTCAGGCCCTGGCTGCCCGAGCTGCTGCTGTGTTCACACAAGGTGCTCCAAGCTAGGGAAGGGTCAGGTCTGGCTCAGCAGACATCGGGATATCCCCTTAATCCTCGGGAAAAACACTGCTGTCCCTCAAAGCTGCTCCCCACCTTCTGCCCAGTGCTATCTTTCCCCAAAAGGCCGTGTGCTCCCATCTGAACTACAGCCATGACCCTGTATGCCACACCCATTCAAATCTGCTTACACGCATAAAACACCTGCTACATCAGGTAATTTAAGATGCTTTCTTACTGAGAAGGTCTTTATTATAAATAAAAAAAACGGCAGCGGTATTTGAGTGTATTGCAAAGAAAAGCTGCTGGACCAGAACAGCAGCAGGACTTTAGAGAAAGGCTGTTCTAACACAACCTGATCTATTTAATGGTAGCCAGCTAAAATACACTAGGTTGAAACCTGCCAGTGCAAGATCCTTATCTGTGTTTCACTTCAGCTGTGAACATGGGACTGCACAACCTCTGAATGTACTAGTGCTGGTGAGAACCTAGGTTTATATTTCACCTTTCACTCTGCAGGCCATCGCTGTGGAAAAGCACTTCAAATGCAGTGCAATACTGTTGTGTTGCAACTGGTAAATAAATGCAACTTCAATTTAATATTTCAATGGATTTTAATTGATTTTTTTACAGGCTACACTTGCTAAGAGGGGAGCCTGGGGTTTCCTGTGACTTAAGCCCTGCAGTGCAGTCAACAGAAAGGCTACACAAATATGTAAGAATCAAATGTACAGACTAAGCAGTTGGCCAAGTTTTTGAAGTTTCTCTCTAATAGCCACATTAATGAAGAGGGTAATTATCAATAATTCCTGCTATGCGGCGGGAATGTGTAATGGTAGTGAAAAATTGCTCACAAACTCTGGAAAATAACACCCATGCTGAGGACTGAACACTGGGACAAATCTCTCTATCTCTGAAGGAAAAGGCAGCAGAGGTAATAGGAGATGGCTCTCCCAGCACATAGCCTATTGTGGAAAAGCCAACAGAGTAATAGAGGTTAACTAACACAGTAAGTCCATTCATTTCCATGAAATTTATACCAAGGGATAATTAATCTCAATGTATTCATAGCCTTTTTTTATTTCCCAAGCAATTTATGTCCAGGGCAAAACCCTAGCAGTGGAATTAGTAGACTAGTATTAATCTGTAACTTTTAATACCTTTCCCATTGCTTTTAGTGGTGTAGGGTCTCTTTCTTCTGAAGTTCTGATTATTTCCAGAAAATACTCATTCACTTCGAATTCTGCTAGACTTTCATATCACATTTGATGTTCCATCAAAGACCTGCAGTTCTAGTACTGAGAAGTCATGTCCAATGCTGGAAACACAGCAGAGTTACCTGCAGAAATACATGAGATTAAAAAATAAAAACACCTCAGAACTACTTTAAAAGATTGTTGTGTAGGAAGGAGACAAAAATTATACTCATACTATGCTTTCCTTTTGATTGAGGGAATCCACACCTAGTGATAAATGGAATTTTCTACTCCTTCACATGGTGGCTACTTGGTCTCTCTGCTTGATCCATCATGATGAAAGATAAATAGTTAATAACTGTAGCTATTTCTTGGTGATATGAAATCCTATCTACTAATAATTGGTATCATCAACACCTTTTACAGAGACTAGCTTTCATGATCAACATAAGTCAAAATCAAATTACAACCAAGATGTGAAAGGCAGGTTTCCGTTATCAAATCTGTGGGCCACTGGCTGGTTGACTCCTGCAATGCAGCACAGCCAGTTTATCTGGTATTGCAGCAGGTAATGCAAACTTGTAAATGTAAAACCTGCTACCGCCCACCAAACTCCTGGTTATGCACTGGGGTTTGATTCTCCTCAGAATTTTTTGAATTAATTTGAATTTGGATGAGAAAACAAATCCAGCTGCTAAAAGACCAAGACTCTCCACCTAGGTTGCCCCCCACCCCAGAACATTTATCTAATTTAATCAGCACCTGCACTTTCAGAGAACAATGTTTTAGGCAGTCAGTAAGAAAATATATATGATTACCTGAGAGCAGCTGTCTCATTGGGACCATTTGAACACTCCATCTCTTCTCAAAAAAAAAAAAAAAAAAAACAAAAAAAAAAAAAAAAAAAAAAAAAAAAAAAACCCCAAAGACAAACAAACAAAAACAAAAACAAAAACCAACCAAAAACTAAACCGACCAACCAACCAAAAAACCACCAAAGAACAAGCAACAAAAATCCCAAACAAACAAACAACCTAAAAAACCCACAAAAGATCACCAAAACTTTATGAGATCTTTCTGAGATGCTCCAAAATGTGAATATCAAAGGAGATATTACATGAAACTTAATCTTGGTGTCCTTTATTATATACTTTCAAAAGAAGGCAGTATCTCTAAAAAACCTCCAGCCTTTAACTTTTGTAATCAAAACAATTATAAGATTTCCATATTGGTGTGATAATTGATAGAATTTTTTTTTAAGTGGTGTGAAAATTTGATACACATTCAACTCAGGATATCTGAAATGCCCTTAAAATTTATCCAAATTTCAAAAACTGTTTAGCCTTTTCATGCACTGAAAAGACAGTATTTGTCCTGTAAATTGTAGCATTTGTCCTTGGCCCATGCACGTTTGAAAGTGCTGGTTTAAAAGTTCTCAGTCATAACAGCAGAAATACAGGTCTGAATGATTTGTAAAAGCACAGATTCTAATGACACCAGTTGTGTTCCCTGTTACCTTGGACAGAGAAGGTAAAGCAGAACAAAAACTAGGCTGTTAACCAGAGTTCAGTCATTTTCTGATTACTAGTCAGAATAACATACACCTAAGAAAATTACTTTGCTCTCCAGGAAAATAATGTAGGAGATATTTTTATGAATATAACCCCGACAATTTTTTTCTTTTGCAGCTCTTTAGCACCTATAGCAGTTTATTATCTCTCCCACTCTCAGATATACTGTAAATATTCTCATTTTTCTAGGAATTGCTGTCTGATTGATCCACTGTGAGGCAATAGAAAAAACAAGGCTGCTTTTTCCTTTTGTTATATTTTTTTTTTCCTTGTCCTTTGCTTTAAACTATTCCAGTACAGAGCATATGTATTGTTACCTCTGGAACTTCCTGAGAACTAGTTCAGGGTATTTATCATTCTGTGACATTGCTAAACCTGAAATATTCCTACCTTCAGTGTGAAATTAGATAATATTCAGCTGGTGATTGGAACTTTGCTGCTGGACACTCTTATCTGTGGGTTTTTCAGCAGATGGAGATTTCATAGCTCTCTGCCTCTGAGTTAAATACATGAGTAGAAGCAATGAGGATGGGTGGAGACTGCCAGTAAAACAGGAGTAGGGAAAACAAGGAAAGAAATGTGAATCCGCCAGATTCTTAACTCAGTTTTCATTCTACTGTTAAAAGCAATGTTGACCTGACTTTATTTTATATAAAATAAATCCTAACCTTTATTTTATATAAAACTAATAGCCTCTTCTAGATTTTTTTGTAATAATCTTTAGAATATTTACATAGCTTTCATTTGATTTAAGCATAATTTATTTCAGTCATTATTTATAAAACTGCTGCTTTTCTCTCCCTAAACTCCAGCCCAAACCTTCAGAAAGTAAAAAGCAAAACGTTTTCCTTTGGAGACTTATGGGAGGCAGGAAAGGTGACGGGACTGGGACATGGGAGTGACTTTGCCTATAGGCCCCTTCCATACACTGCACAGTGTTTGGTCACCCAGTGCTGACCTGTTTTCTTGCACATGTGAGTGCTGACTTTGGGGTCCATCATGTGAGTGCTCTGCTGCTCTCCCTGCTGCTTCCTGCCTTCACTCATGTCCCTGTGGGGGAAGCTGAAAAGAACATTTATTCAAAAGCGGTGTAAATACCCACCTATGTGGCATTTGAGGGACTCAAGTGACAGTATGAGCCCTGAAATCACTATTAAGGGAACAGAAGTGGCAGCCAGCAGAAAAGGAAGGGGAGAGATGGGATAAAAATTCAGATGGAGGGAAAATACAGTCCAAGTAGACACTGGAGAAGATGCAGCTCTCCTAGGAAACGAGAAGCAGATGAAAACAGGGAAACAAAGGAGCAAGGAACACTGGTTTTCCTGCCTGATGTACTTAACTAAAACCAGAACCACATCTCATGTTTGCAAAGATTAGTCCAGACCCTCCTGTTCCCATAGCATCCCTGGTCACTGCTTTAACATATTCATCTTGTTCAGATATCTGATTTCGGAATCCTTTGTGTTGGACAGTGATAAGCTGATCAGCTTTAAGGACTAAACAGTGTTATATGCCTCACATTATTATTCCAGTGTGAATAATCACATTTTACAATTCAAAACCATCTCTTTTAGGCACAAAAACCCCCACTAATGGGATTGAATGTGTTCCAAGAAAGGGCAGGAAAGGATACCACCTCAATAAAATAATTTTACTGTTCAGAAAATGAATGCTCAATTATGTTTCAGTATTAGGATTTTCCTTCATAATATCCAGGGTAGCTGAGCTTCCCCTGGCCTGAATACCTGCTGTTTTTTGATTCTCTAACACTTTGCAGACATGTTCGTGACTATCTACATTTCTGGTCTAATAAAAGTTTAGATACTAACTTGCACCTTTCAGTTTCTAACCTCTTCTCTGAGCACAAAAAGTCCATTAGGATTGGTGTTGGCCTGAAGAAAGGATATTTTAAGAGTTTAAAAAATCTAAATCAATACCAGGAATCAAATACAGAAACCGCAGCTTTGATGTGGGAGAGTGAGAACATGGTGACATATCATGTTCCTCAGGGCAATATTTCACATTGCTGGAGTTTTAAGAGTTTTTGTTCTTCAGGGATAGGTCAGATAGGATGGATAACCTTTGTAAATGAAGGTTTTTACTGTAATACACATATGCATGTCTTACATGTTAAAACATCAGGGTCTTTTGCTGATAGAGTCAGTGTCACTCTTCACAATCTGTTCTTGTCTTTTAATCCCCACTACCACCAAGACAGCACAAGCTTCACAGACATTTAGTCTCTCCTGTTAAAGAAAGCTGCTCACAAAAAAAGTGGGAATTAGGACAGTCTCCTAACCACATTGCTCTATCCTCATTCCGTGAGTATGCCCTTGGCCAAAGGCAAACTTTCTGGTGCAGTGGCCAATAGTCTCTCATTGTTTTTGATGCTATGGATTTCTTGAAGTTTGCAGTTATGCTGAAGGCTCTTGGATGTGATTATTCCTTTTTGACATAAGGGACCTCTTTCTCTGGAAGACACATTTGTTTTGGTAAATGAACACAAATTCTTTTACCCTCTCTGGGGTGTTCTACATGACTGTGCTGGATTTGGCTACAGGGGGATTAATTTTCTTCACAGTGGCTGGTATGGGATTGTGTTTTGGATTTGTGCTGAACACAGGGTTGTATAGAGATGTTTTTGTTATTGATGAACAGGGCTTACACACAGCCAAGGCCTTTTCTGCTTTTTGTGAGGCTGGTGAGGAAGCTGGGGGTTACTGGGAGGCTGGGAGGAGACACAGCCAGGACAGGTGACCTCAACCGAACAAAAAGATGTTCCAGACCTTATGACATCATGTTCAGTATATAAAGGTGGGAGAAAGAAGGAAGAGAGGGGAAGGAGGAAGGAGAAGGAGAAAAGATGTTTGGAGTGATTGCATTTCTCTTCTAAAGTCACTGTTACATGTGATGGAGCCCTGCTGTCCTGAAGATGGCTGAACTCCTGCCTGCCCATGGGAAGCAGTGAATTAATTCCTTGTTTTTCTTTTCTTGTGTGTGCAGCTTTTTGCTTTCTCTATTAAACTGTATTTATCCCAGCCCACGAGTTTTCTGCCTTTTATCCTTCCAGTTCTCTGCCTGATCTTGCTGGTGGGGGCATGAGTGAGAGGCTGTATGGGGCTTGGCTGCAAGCTAGGATGAAACCATGACAATAACTTCAGCTTAGATCTTCATTTCATCTGAGTTTTAAGTGGTTTGCATGCCTAGTTAATACCTTACTATCTGTCCTCATAGGGCAATAATATTTATTAATTAACTTGAAGATGCTATCAAACATTTTGAGTTTGAAAATACAGAGACAGATCACGCCATTGGCTTTATTGGTGTCAGGTAACAGAGCAGTATTTTGGCAAACATTGCAGCATACAAGCAGAAATAAGTGCACAAGAAATAAAACAAGGAGGCTACAAGGTTATTTTCTAGTTGCCAGTAACAACCCTGACATTCTGTAGCCTAATTTTCACTTTTCAGTTTATGCTGTTGACTCAGAAAGCATTTGTGAGGTGTAGAGCTCAAGAACAACAGTTACCTGCACATAATTTAAAAAAAATACAATAAATGTCCTGTTAACCAGCCAGTTCAATACTGAATGCAATGCCCTCATTGCTTGATGTTTGTGGATGTGACAGCCTGGTCAGAGAGCAAGAAAACTAGGTAAGTTTTCCCAAAATCGAATTGTGAGACTTTAGGGAGTTGAAGATGAACAATGATAGCTTATTATTACAAACAACCTGCAAGTGTTGTTTTCCTACTCTGTTTTCCTGATATTCTCAAAGATTGTTTATAAGAAAGACATTTTGTTAATTAGCCAATCAGGTGAAATGTATTGATTAATTGACCAATCTGGTCTGTCTGTATCAGAAGAGTGTATAAGAGAGAATTTTGAAGTAAAGTGAGATACTGTGCAAACCAGCCTTCTGTGAGTCTGTGTCGTTTCTTACTCATCAGCAACAGTTGCTCCTCCAGAAACACTCTGAGCAACACTGGATGTTACCTGTTGCACACAGGCTCCTTTGCATGCAAGTACATAAATGAGAAATGTCTCACCTTGTCCATAGCAGTGGCTGGCTGTAAATAAGTCACCATTGCCAGGTGCCAGCACAGTCTCTCACAGATGAGGCTCTCCTAGAGACACTGAAGCTCTCTTCTCTGCAGAAACCAATGCATGGCACCCAGAGAGCCTTACACAGCTCTGATCCACACTGAATCACAGTATGCTGAGCTGGAAGGAACCCACAAGGATCATCTATTCCAGCTGGGGAATATCACTGGGGAAGCACCTTTGGCATGCATAGACATGACAGTGTCCCTTCTGTCTTGAAGAGACCACTATCAGCCAGAGGCTGGCATTGGATTTACCTGACACACAGAGGTAACTCCCATTGATTCCAGTTGAGATACTCAGTATTTATGCAGCTTCTAAAGTGAGGTCAGTTCTGGAGATGTTTTAACCTGGAATCACATTTTAGAGATCTGGTTTTGAAAGGTGGGAGGTGAGCAACCCAACTCACTTTTATCCAGGCAAGACTATAGTGGGAACAGAGGAATGTGATGCATTCACAGTTACATAGCTGCAGCAACACCACTGTGTGAGGCAGTAGGATAGCTTTTAGAATTTCTGGACCTCGGGTGCTTTTTGCTTCTAAAACCATTAAAAGCCTATTTACTGAAGCAGCCCATGAGGCAAACATCAGACACACAGAAACAACAACTGAAGTGAGAGAGACCCTCTGAACTCTTTGAAATGTTTACAAACAGCTGTAGGAGCTCTGCGATGAAGTGAAGTACTTTCAAGCAGAGACAGAAAACCTAATGGATATAAAAATCCTTTTTTAGCTCTTGGGTGAGATTTGTTTTCAAAGACCTAGCTGTGATATGAGGAAAATGTATTAGATCATCCAGTCTGCCTCCTCCTGTTCCAGGAGAGAAGTGGTCCCAGTGCTATATTTTATAAGACTTGGCTCAGCCCAGCTCTGCCTGACTCAGACAACAGAAACCAAACCCACATCTTGGGAATCTTCTCAGTTTTTCTAAATATTTCACTTTGTGGAATTTTCCCCAGTATTCCACCCAGAACAATTCAGCACAGTTATGTATAAAGACACTTTGGTGTAATGATCATCATGCTGTTGACTTCATATTTATCCCCTTAGACAACCCTAAATAACTTCCCAGCCAGTGCGGTGGTGATGTCCCTCTAGCATCTGTCTAGAGCTATGCTCCTCCCCATTTGAACACATTATTGCTGTGTTCTGCTGTGACTGAGCCTTCACAAGAAATTCTTTCAGATGTTTTCCTGTTCCTTCCTCTTTGTATTCAAGACACTATTATTATTAGTAGTAGTATTATTACACTTGAGGAAAAGGACAAGGAAAAGAAAGAAGAAAGAAGTGAAAAGACAAACCCACCTTTTTTCATGCCACCTCAGCTGCGCAGGCACAGAAGGATCCATTCTAAATAGCTGGCCTACACACATAATTCAAGTTTTACCTCTAGGATTTATAGTAAGGGTATTGTTTTCATTTCTGCTTTCTCTTACGTGCCTCATACAATCTTTTTTCCTCTTAAATTTTCATTAGAACCTTTGAGTTTTCCATTGCTGTTTGGACAGTTGAGAGAAATTATGCTGCCCCTACAGGACGTTAACCAGGAAGAATTTCTGCTCTTACACATCTCAGAATCAAGATGATGAACAGAGAAGGATTGTCCCCTTGAAGGATTTGCTTTTCAGAATCTACTGCCAAGGGACTGTACAAGAAGGTCCACAATCAGTTACACAGGAGAACTGAGTTTAAGGAAATTGATCTGAGATCCACATAGTGTTTGCCTTGCATATTATCCTTTCTGCTTTAAAAGAAAGAAAGAACACAAAACACAGTCATTCCCTCAATCAAAGCAGCCCTTCAAATTTGTGAATCTTTTCAAAAACATAAAATCATAAAACATTAAATTTGTGAATCTTTTCAGTCTTTGTTGATTGTTTTTCTAAATTATCCTAAAATAGGCTTCAAACTCAAAGTGGTAGAGGAAGATGTACACAGATACTTCAAATTTTCAAAAATATTTATAGTTTAAGACATAATTGTGATTTTCTTTTTTTATTCTTACTTTCTGACCAACTCAAGATTTTTTGCAGCACTTGACATTTTAAACATCTAAAGCAGAACAGCAACCCAAGTAACATACCACAGCTTCTCTAATGTGTTAAAAATGTCCTCAGCTGTTCTATACAACCATCTCTCTGAAACAACAGAGCTACAAGTCCTACCAGAGGAGCCAGACTAAGCTGCCCATAACAGGGTTCTCCTGGGGTAAACTCCCATCCTGGAAGCAGCTTAACCTCATAACGCTGTTCACTAAGTGATCATTATTCTAATTTTACTCTTGGGGAAGCAAAGGCAAGCAAGACAAAGCATTACTCTAAAACCTTAGAGAAATTCGGGTGCATTTCACTCAGAGCTGTGTAAACTCAGCATGCTGTTTTAATAAGTAGAATAGACTCTTTCCACATTAGGAGAAACGTTGTTCAAGTTACTACTTTTCTGAGCAGAGCACAGATATTTTAACACACTGGTAGCTCTGCCAAAAAGCAAGACTGAAGTTTTTTTTTTTTTCTTTCCATCATTACAAAGTACAGTCACATGCAAGTGAACTTCTGCCTGTCTGCAGGGCTTGCAATAGTAAGAGGTTCTAGCTGCACTCCCTATAGGATATATACAGCAACTGGGTCAGCCTGTTTACAAAATAGCTTGTGATTATCACAGCAGTGCTTAGCAGCTATGAATACATCATACCAGAGTCTAATTAAAGACAGGCATAGCTAGAGCACTGCAAAATAAAGGAACAGTGGCACTTAATAAAGCTGCTCAGGACTGGGAAGAGGTTAGTTTTTACTCTCAGTTAGCCCCTTGGAGGTCAGCTAACCAGGTTTATTTTGATCAAGATTTAAAACATACATCTTCTGAGGGCAGTCAGTTCATATCCTCAGGAAAAGAGTGAATTTTGTAACAAGACAGCAGTTTCAATGGTGAAAAAAATCATTTTAAGGGGAAAACTGAAAATAAAGATCAAGTTAAACTTGGTAATCCATACATAAAATGGATGTACATAAAACACCATTATACCAATAGCTGTATAAAGCATTATGTTCCTATCCTTACCCTTCAGAACATTGCTGGAACTCTCCTTCTTCTCCTAAATACACCTACTGTATTATACCTTGTGTGATGCTTCAGGATTGACTCCCAATCTGTCTAGTCCGTGTGAATCATGAAATGCAGTCTTCTTCAGGCCATGCCTATTCCTGTTAAATGACAGAGCACAGGTTAGAAGGGAGGTAGGAAAGTGCCTATTCCTATCCCAGCTATGGAAAGGAGAAGGCTGTATTTTCTGTAACAAAATAGGAATGCTAATGGTCCCAGCAAACAATGGGTTATGCTAACACTAGGATATGCTCCAATACTGGCTGAGTCATCATTATTTTAGGGTGAAGACTTAGGGGAAGGGAAACAACCATTTTTGAAAAGACGAAGTTCTAGCAAATGAGTATTACTGAAGAAAAATCATGAAAAATTAGGCAGGGCAACCTCTCTTGTGCGGGATTTGTAATTTTCTCTTCCCCCCCCCCCCCACCCATTCCCCCTCCCGCCTTCCCGCGCGTTCCCCCTTTGGTGACCCAGCCCGCCCCTCCCCTCCCGGTCCCCTGTCCCGACCCTTTGTTCCCTTATCACTCCCCCTCACCACGCGGTCCGTCCCTGTCCCCCCGCGGCTTTCCCATCGCTGTCCCCGCGGTTTCCCGTCCCCCGCCTCCTGTCCCATTGGCCGTGGCTCAGGTTCCCCCCCGCCCCTGGCACACGGTATAACCAAGCCCCGGTCGGTGCCCCAGTGTCTCGGGAACACGCTCCCACAATAAACACGTGTTTGCACCCGAGCCCCGTGTCGCCATTTCGGCTGTTCCCGCTCTAGAACTGAGCCTCGCAGAGACGAGGGGAAAGCGGCCGCCGTCTCCTTCCCTCCTCGCCGTGCCCACAGGCGCCCGCCCGGAGCCGGTCTCGCACAGCAACACTCTTGTACTTACGCTTTTTCAGAGAGTTTGGTTTTCTTTCTTCCATCCATTTGCTTTTGTAAATGCTGCACAACAAAGGTGAAAATTAACAATTCAGTCCATTTGCCTCACATTTCCTACTTCACAGGCACTTCCGTCAGTCTCATCATGTTGTACAAGTATTTTATATATTGCTGTAAGTTACTCATTACCAAGTGTACCCGCACACACAAAGTTCCATACTTCATACTTCCTTTACAGAACTACAATTCCCTTTTTGATGCATGCATAATTTTGGTCCCTTGTGTGTTTATACTGTGAAAGCCGTAAGAGTTTTGCAGCACCAGAAGAGATAGTCTTGATTTTTCATCTTAAATAGCAGGGAAAACATTGTTATTTATCTTAGATTTAATTTTAGAAGCCATCAAGAGCTGTGCAGATCTGCTGCAGTAGCTTTGCCGAAGAGGTTCAGAACGGGTCTTCACCAAAGCAACAACTTCACCCCTCACACTCCTAGGCAGAAAGTGTCAGGCAGCAGCAACCTTTCTACTTGGATAATTCTCTTTGCTGCCCAGTATGTGAGTCCATGCTGCCCTTCTTCCCAAAGGTGAATTCAAGGGAACCAGACTCTTCTCCTCAGCTGCATGCACATGTCCCAGGAACCACGAACTTCTTGGAGGGCTCATCACAGGCTCCAGGTACTTCAGCACCAGACAGGTCACAACCCACAGACAACACACAGGACACAAAAATGTCTTAAGCATATTACAGTTGAGCAAAAGTTCTAAGTTACTGAAAGTATTTTAAATTAGAATAAGAGAGAAACTTACTCTGCCATAGAGAGCAGTGCATATAAAATATTAACTTCAACAGCATTTGTTTGACTATGGTAAGAACTCAGGTGCTTCCACAACACTGTAGATTTCCTACAATCAGCTTCTCTTAGAGCTTTGAAAAGCAGGTAACATAAAGTAAGGACACAGAACAAGAACTATGCAGCTCACCAGAAACACCTTTTAACACAATCAGCACCTCTTCAATTAATAACCTTGGTGAGCTAGAGCTGTTGAGCTGTTACAAATTTATGTAGATCCACCAATGATTAATAGTAGCAACCAAAGGAGCCTAGTGATAAAACCCCTATTGAATGAATAAAAATGTTCATCATCTTAGGTGGTGTTTCATACATGTCTTGCAGGCAGAGTAAGTTTACTGTAAAAAAATATTTAAAATTTAATTATTGCATATAATAGTTCCATTATTATATGGATTTAGTTACTTAGTATTTCAGACTCTTCTGTTCTAGTATCTGAAAGTTTAGGGTACAATGAGAGTGCTGTGGGCAGGCAGTGGTCTGGGAATTATTGTCCAGTGAAAAGCACAGAACAACAGAGTGTAACAGCAACTAAAAAACTTAAAAACTTAAAAAAACATTAAAAATATAGCACTAGAGCTACCTGAAATGAAACTAATTATAACAGGTAAGATTGACAAGCAGCTGCAGAAGCAGAAATCCTTGTTTTTTTTGTGGACACATACAAAACAGTGTTGATATCAAGAAAGTAAAACAGACAATGAAAAGCAAACAATTTCCAGACCAAGAAAAACTGAAACAACTACAGGTGGTTTCAAGAAAAACACTGAGCACTTCTTTTTTTATTACTGTGCTGCAATATACAGTATATTTGAAGTACAGAAATTCAAAACCAGTAAAACTTCAAAGACCCAAGTGCATTCCCAAGGTGGAGTCCACAATTTCACAGCGTGTTTCTTGTGCCCCACACGTAGCTCACATGCCAAGCCTTCTCCAGCCACTCCCCAGCATTTCCAGAGAAGTCAGTTACACTGTTCAAGCAGCACTATTTCTTCTTGAGAGCTCTCTTTCCTTCCCCCTTCTTTGGTTTTTCCTTCCCACGGAGCTTTTTCAGTCGCCTCATCTCCTCCCTGAAGTCCTGATGCTCATCCCTAGGTGGGGAAGAAGGAATACAGTTTATTCTTTTTCTTGGGATGCAGAAATACCAATGGTTCTTTGAACTATATGCTAAAGATAAAAAACAAAAATCAGATTTTTTTAACCATGAAGTCCATACTAAAGCTTGATGCAATGTATTCCATGTTATTGCAGGCAGTATCACTGAATAACAACATGAGAGATTTCCTCTGGTACTTTCAGAACTAACAGGGTTGTCCTTTTCAGCAACAAAGGGTGTGTGCACATATGTATTATTTCAGTTGCATTTTTTGATCCCCTTTGTTTAAATGAGCAGTAAAATGCAAAAATCAGCAAGAGACAAGAATAAGATTTTCCCCCTTGTTAGCCAGCTCAGTAGTGCAGCCAGAGCACATTGTGCTCTTGTGTTGGGGTCATTAGCTCCTAGGGAGACAGGGCTATGCTGAGCAGTAATTACAGAACATGGCACTGCTCTCAGGTGACTTCAGGAATGAGTTATGAAGATGGCATCAGTACTGGGAGAATCCTAATAAGAGAGTAAAACAGGAGGAGGATGAAGGGGCTGGCAGGGATAATTAATCCTCAATCACTTTCTAATAAATTGTATTAATCTGTCCCTGTATTTTTTTAGTGCAAAGTGATTTTCAAAAATTATGACTGCATCCTATGTGGCCTAAGATTGCTGCACTGCTATTTTTAAACACAACTTCTCTAAATAGAAACAAAAAGCTTGTGATTTATTACTGGCCCCATTAGTCTATGATTCTTCATTACACATTTTCTTTTCTTCTACCAACTCTCTGTATACAGCTAGAGAAGGAACTTAATAGGGAAAGGAGAAAAGAACATTAGCATCACATGGAGGCTTTCTGTGTAAACAAACAGCCAGTCTAGAAAGTGTTGGCACACCTACCTAAATCAAGAGCATCCTGGATGCAATCCTTGATGGTTACTATTGTCATACTAGTGACAAGTAATCTGTTTTGACTATACAGGGTTTGCAGCCTCACTTTTAAAGATTTTTTTAGTGTGACCTAATTGAAGTGAAAGAACTGCATTTGACTCCTGCTGATGCTCTTCAGCAGTACAATTCTCTCTGATACAGACCGTGGGAGTTAATTTAGAAATTAGACAAGTGGTTTGGATGAAGCTGGAATTAACAAGACTAAATCACATTCAAATTTAATTTAATTTATTTTGAAGAATAAAAAGGCCCTCTGGCCTAACAAAGATTTCTGTCTCTTCTAAATTTCACTTATTAGCTGATGAATGACACAAATATATGGTAAATCTGGAGTTAACATCACCTCTTTGTAGCACAATTATTGGCCACATTTAGAACTATAGACCCATCTCTTGTCTATCAGAAAGCTTTCTTCTCTTCCCCATAAAGCAAAAGCAGGAACTATTTCTTAGGTAACTGCCTGCCCACAACTAAACCTCAAGTCTTTCTCACAAAAGGTTCCAATTATGATAAAAGTTAAACAGCAATCACTTTTTTGCTCCCCTTGCCCTCACTGCCAACAATCAAGTGCCTATTTCAATATCCACCATATTCAGAACTAAACACTGCCCTTGAGGAAAACAACTGCAATGAGACTCCAGTCCTGCTCCCACCCCCCCATCTCCAGTCCTGCTCCCATTCCCCCATCTCCAGTCCTGCTCCCACCCCCCATCTCCAGTCCTGCTCCCACTCTCCAAGCACAGGAAGCACCTGTAGAGCCCGAAGTAGCGGAGTTTCTTCATGAGGGCGTAGTAGGTGTTGTGAGGGGGGTACCAGTTGTACACCTCCTCCCGCTTGGCAAGGGGCTGCTCGCTGAACAGCTTCACCACCTTCATGGATTTGGAGTCTGTGGGCCTGACAACGTTGCCGAATATCTGGGCACTCAGCCGGGCCATGCGGAGGGTGTAGCTGGAAACATTGGACATCTCCCCAGGAGCAGTGGGCACACACAGACACGTGGACCTTCCTGCAAAAACAAACAGAAGAGCCACAGCTCTTCACCCAACTAGGAGCAGAACAAGTTATCCCAGAATTAGGGCAAACAAAGGAATGTATCACACACTGATCACTCATTCAACATCACACATTCCTTGCATAAAATCAGTCTAATACTTGAGCATGTAATCCTGCATATAAAGAACATCTACATGAATTCAGGGACAATTCCCAACCTACAGACAGCAATACCAACTATAGAAGTCCACTGTATCACAATTTACCACGGCCAGCATGGTTTATTAGCAGAATCTACTCAGCTTGCTCAAGACACCCTTAAACTCAATGCACAGGAACAATTACGGTGTGAGTTCTGCCAAAAATTTCATCTGTGTGGTATCACGGACTGCTACACAAGGACAAGGTAAGGCACCACTTTAACATACAGAGAAAATTACCTGGAAGTTTTTCCTCAGGGAAGTTTCTCACCCTATTTAAAACATTGTTAAAATCCATGTAACAATGGGCTATAAACAAATCATGTTTCTCTATATGGATCACACAGATCTTTCCCATCTCAATTCCCTTCTCTTGATCATCTCCATCAGCTTTTTCTCCATTTTCTTTTCAGTCTCTCACGATGCCTATTCTTTTTGAGAGGAAACCAGTAGTTTTCCTATGCCAGATTCCAAGAAAATCAATCAGCAGCTTCCCATTCTCTTTTAGTCATCTCTCACCGAAAAACCTCTGCAACAAAAATGCCCCGAAGACAAAACCATTGATATTAGGCCACCAGACAACATCCTATCTGCTAAAGTAGCATGAGAAGAGTGTTATCTCAGCTTTCCTAACCCTCCCCATTTTAAGTCTTCTTTACTCTCTTTGCAGAATGGGTTGTAGTAGACAAGAATAGGAATCCCATAATCCTGTATTTGAAACAGTATCTTGTCTGTACTTTGCCTTTTTGAATGAGTGATAAGTCTTCAGACAAATTAAGCAGGTTCCTTCAAGAGCATGACACTGAGGTAAAAATTTAAAATTCTTGTTTTAACAAATATTGCACAGCTGATTCCAGAATATGAGCATAACAAATTAAAGATCATGGATAAGAGTAATCATCAGGACAGTGCTAAGTCCACTTCAGTATGACTACACAGACCCTGCTGTTTAATAATACGAATTTGAAGTATTCATAACCTCATGTACATATACCTGCTCATTGGAGGACATGCTTTGATTTACTGTGTTAGCAAAGCACTCTAAAGGAAGCAGAAAAAAAATCAAGCATGAAATAATGTAAGTAATTTGAGAAGAGAGAATAATGGTGAAAATAACAAAAAGGAAGGCAAAGCATCAGAGACCTTGAGCTAAGGCAGTAGGCCTAGTGTGAGAATACAGAAGCTCTTAAATGATTGCAGGGCAACAGTTCAACGTGAGCATCTATTACAAGGGCGATAATCACTAAGTTTTTCTACATCATCTCTTTCAGAACAGCCAGTTCTAATTCCTACATTCAGAGACAAAGCAACAAGTTGTCCCCCAAACTCTTCATCACAGGACTCGAAAAGTGTGTCTTTATCAGCAGACTCCAACACACAATGTGCTTAATCTCTACTTACTGCAACCTTAAAATGAAAATACCTTCAGCAAACCTGTGGTCTGAGGAACCTGATTTTCATTTCTGAGGAACCCGATTTTCACTTCTTACTCGCTGAAGGAATTGTAACAGTCCAAGCTGAGGCTGGGGACTCCATTAACCCTTGCCCAACTATGAAGCTTGGGAGAAAAGCAAAGCAAAGGCTGCAGACTCCCAGAGCTATCAAAAGTCAGTTCTAGGGTGACTCTGAGATGTAACATCTGTGAGACGAAAGACTACTTTCGTATTGTCACCTCCAGCAATGACATGCTCAGCATGGCCCGCCAGGAGTTAGCACACCTAACCCAGAACCAGCGTCCAGCGCTGCCGCGCACCCCGCTCCCGGCTCCCCACTCCCACCCAAAGCCCAGCGCCCCCGCCCTGCGCTGCTTATTCTTTATTCCCGATCCACCCGCTTGTTTCGGACCGCTCCCTTCTCACTCGGAACGCCAGGAGAAGGCTCTTTCCCCCGCGTTACTTCTGGATTTCACAGGAGCACGGGGGTAAGACCAGGCCGCCGCGGAGCTCAACCCGCGGCGTGCGCGGCTCCGCCTCAGCCGGGCCGGCCCCGCTCCCCTGCGGGACGGGACCGCCGGGACGCGCCCGAGAGCTGCGGCTCCCGGGGACACGGCCCCGCCCGGCAGCCCGGAGCCCGGCAGCCCCGCCTGGCAGCCCGGAGCCCGGCAGCCCGGAGCCCGGCAGCCCAGCCTGGCACCCCAGAGCCCGCCCGGCCCCACTCACCCGCGCTGGGCCGCGGCCGGAGGAGCGGCGGCGGTGCCCGAGAAGAGCCGGCGCGCACGGGTGACGCGAGGGGCGGGACGGGCGGGCAAGGGAGGATCTTCCTCCTTTTTTTTCTCCCGCTGCTGTTCCTGCTCCTTCCTCGCACTCTGCGGCGGCTCGCCGGGTGCTGACCCCACGGTCCTGGAGCTACGGAATCACAGAGTATCCTGAGCTGGAAGAGACTCACAAGGATCACACCAGGAGAGGGTCACACCCTCCTCCGTCAAGAACAAAACGTTTTCGTTGTGACTCCCTTTCTTTCATTTGTTTCCCTCCCTACTGTAAGCAGCTTTGGAGTTATATGCTTAAATCTAATAACGAAATGAGAAAAGCGGATATCCTCACTAAAAGCTGATGACAAGTCCACATAGAACCTTATTCTTGGGTTTTGCCAGGAAAGGAAGAGTGGTGTGAAATGTCCACACTGGCACATCCAGTCAGCAGCCTCGCTCCATAAGAACGTGTGTTCAGGTTAATAAAACCAAGCTGGTTTTACTCTTGGGAGAGAGCATGAGTTACATAAAGAGCTGAAAGCCAGGTCTTCACTCATGGCCTTGTCCAGGCTGCAAACTGGGACAAATGTCAAAATCTAGTTTTACTGAAAAGAGGTGAAAGGGAGAGTTTGGTAGCCACAAATGTTTGTCATTCACTGTGCTTCCAAACCACTTTGAGAGATTATTTCTCTACTCCAAATTCAGGGTGTATGTCTCCTGTGCTCTTTGCCACTCCTTACTCTCATAACTTTTGCTTCCCTCCTGCTGCTTGTTTTCGAAGGTGGTTATTCAGCTGCATAAATATATCTCCCTTGGCAAATTTACCTGCGCAATCTTAGTCTTTCAGCACAAGTGTCCTCTTGGTCTCTTGCTACTGGTGAAGGTGGTGAGCTGGTCACTCACTTCATGCCCCAAACCTGGAGTGGGGTGTGTTCCCAGGGGAGCCCCTGAGGTGTGGGTATGGGCACCTGATCCTGCTACGCTTCCCCTGCCACCCCTCTGGCCTCTGACAATCCCACTAGAGATGAACTTTCCCAGTGCTTGATTTATGCTAATTTTTAATCAGTGCCAGGAGGTGCTAAATCAGACTCTGTGCAAACATCTGAGTAAATGACAATTATGTGATTGCATTTATATGCCAAATGTGTAATGCCATCGAAGGAGCAAATTGGGTTTGTCTGGCTCACCCTGTTTTCTAGAAGAGTAAATTCTGCCAAGCATTGAACAAATTGTTATTCTGTCATCCTTCCTTAATTAATTTTCTGTCACCTTTTCCATGCTTGTCACAGGCAGAGCAGCCTCATGGCCTGTGCAACCCACTCTCCTTTCTTGTCCTCTTTGAATATTGGCATGATCCTCTAATTCCCTTTCTATACCTGATCTTGTGGAAGGGGTTCCTGCCCATGGCAGGGAGGGGCTGGAACTAGATGATATTTAAGTTCCTCTCTGACCCAAGCCTTTGTCTGATTCTGTGATTATTAAGAATTAACATTCATGGAATTTCTTCAGCCAGTTATTCAAACACTGTCATATAAAAGTTCTGTAGATATCCTAATTTTGAAATGTTTGCTCTAGTAGATCTTGCCTACCATTTTCATTACTGACTAATGGATGGAAAAGTGCTTCTTTTTTCTTTTTTCTTTTTCCTGCAAGATAAGAAAAGTGCATCTTCCTTAATATTTCTAAGGAGTAAATAGATGTTTTTAGCTTTTCTGCCACTTCTCTGCTATTTTGCCATCTCTAGACACACACATCAGTATTATTGCACCCCTCATTTTACTGTCTGTAGTCACACCATTTATGCTTATTCCTGTAGTCTTCATTTTTTGTATTAACAGAACATTTTTTTCTTTTATTTTGCCTTTCTGTGTTATTCTATACCATGCTTTTAACTTCTGGGCGCTTCCTTCACTCTGCTGCTGAGACAAAGTTGTCCTTCAGCCAAAATTGGCCATTTTGTTAATTAAGCAATCATGACTATATGGAGTAAGATCATAAGTATTCTCATTTACATATCTGTATCTATTTTTGAATAGCAATTTTCTCATAATTTCTCCCATCTTGATGGAGAAGGTCTCTCTGAAGCGTCCCTGTGTGTGTGAGAGAGAGTGGGGGGGGGGAGGGGGGGGAAGAAAGAAAGACTATTTCTCTGACTGGGACTTTGTCCTTTGTCCTTTTTATAACAACTGTCCTTGTTATAGTCAAATTATGATTACTGGCTCCTAAATAGATACCCCCTTTTTGTTCTGTGATTAAGTTGTTTAAACATTATGAGTTCAAAAGTACTTCTTCCATGCAGACTGGATTAACAGAAGTGCAGTCTGTCACAGAAAATAAGATTTTGGAAAGTGTAATGAGATGTGGCTTCTGGCTGTTGGGGCTTTTTCCTCACACAGCTTCAAACTGAGCACACTTCTGGTACATTGGAGGGATAAGCAGCCTGATTCTCTGCAGTCAGCTCCACTTCATTCCAACCCTCCTCAACAGGGTTAGTTGGAACAAATTACTGTCTCTGCATCTCTAAAATAATGATGGTGGTTTCATATGCACTCTTACATTCTCAATCTTCAAATTTCTTCATTTATGTTAAAGGATTAGGGCAAAGTATTTTAATCAAATTTGTTAAATCATCCTGCCTGATTCAGTAGTTACATCAGTTCAATCTCATTCCTCCTCATCAATGAAAATATTTTACTTACATGTTACACACTCTGAAAACTGGCCACTGCTTCCACCACAAATATGAAAAGGTCTGCATTAGTTAAATTTTTCTGCCTTTTTCCTCAGCTGTTTCTCCTGTCAGCCATCACCACTATTATTATGAAATCAAAGGAAAAATGTACACTTACAAGGGTCTATTTATGTCACTGTAGCACTGTTGTTGCTGTGGTTATGAGGAGAATTGCTTGCAGAGCACCCAGCCAGGGTTAGTGTGCCAGTAAGGCAGTGTGCAGACGCTCAGAATGGAAAATCGGAGTCACACCAGTCAACAAAACAACAACTCAACACATCTGCAAATTTTCACAGACAGAGAATGATCTGGTTTGCAATCCATGGACCCAAAAAGTTTTTCTCACCTTATCTGGGACACTGTGTCTCCCTATATTCTGTCAGAGAGTGTAAACTCAACATCCCCACCTCGAGGTCTTCAGAGTCCAAATGAGACTTGGCATGCTAAGGGAATGGAAGGATGCAGCAGAGACTGACTGCAGGAATGGGTGGGTTTGTGATAAGCTGAATTCAATGGACATGTTGTTAGATCCTCCTGAGCTTTTTGTTGCAAGCAGAGCAAAGTGTTTGGACTTGCTAGCAATTATTAATGAGAAAATCAGTGGGAGATGGGTGAGTGAAAAAGCTGAAAACCCTAGAAAGGAGTTAAAGGAGAGTGACATGGAGTAGAAGACAACATGGGGATTCTCTGTACAGGGACTGTTGTGGAGAAAGGAAATTAAGAGAGTGGAGAGGCATTCGTGGAACACCTGCAAAGCAGCCGAGAAAAAAAAGAGGAAGAAACCTCACGATAAAGTACAATGAAGAACCTTTTCACAAATAGTTGGCAGTAGTTTTGATCAATAGTGATCTGGAATTGTTTATCTATTTAATTCATCTTCTGTATGTATTTCATTTATAACTGAATGACAGCTTTAAGGCACAATTTTGACAAAATGCAACACTTGTTCCATTGTTTGTCCTGATAAGGCAAAGGTATACCCAGAAAGAAAAAAAAATCATGGTGACAGTTTGCTCATTGGTGCTTGTTTATTGACATTTGGAGGGAAGCAGAGTCTGAAATTGTATCTTATGATCTTGGAAATGAGGCATTTGAGCAGTACCTGTATGACAAAGCGATCAACTTCACTCCTAAGTCTTATGCTTAAAACTATTGTGCTGCAACATGATCTCTAACATTTTCTTGTTATAAATATTGACGTAAATGAGGGAACAAAATCATCTGAGTAAGTAGAAGGACCCTCTGAGCATTTGGTAGAACTGCATTGGCTACACGCATGTTTAAAAATCATTTGTTATTCATTATGTGTTCATGATTAATTGGCAAACTTCAACTGTATTTTGTTGCACAGCAATTCGTGCTGAGCCATGGAGACATCTGAATTGCAAATCCCTCTGGAGAGAATGTGCAGTGTTAAGAGACTGACAGACTCTGGGTGGGCATTTAAAGGATATTTTGACTTTAAAGTAACTCATCAAACTAATGCCGGAGTGGAATCCACAAAGATGTCACTATTAAGTACTGCCACTCCAGCTATCTAACACAGGGAACACTTGGAAGGGAGATGCAGCTTAAGAGGAAGACAGAAATTATTTTTCAAAGCTACTTGGCATTTTGAATTTATTGCTTTCCCCAACAGCCAGGCTGTCGAGGCAGCCTTCCCTCCTCCTGGGGAAAGTGAGCCGGTGCCGTGTGTCTCTTGTGCAGCGCCCTCAGAGCGATGCCTGCAATGATATTGGCAGTTCTGCAGGAGAGCTGTAACACATCCATTTTTAATGGGAGATGACCTGTCCGGCGTAGTGGCGCTGCACAAAGCTGAACAGGCAAAGGATGCTGTGGAGCTCCACACGCTTCCATGTTTGTCATTTAGACTGACTAATTTGGAGTTCAACAATATATCAGAATAAGTGGTCAGTGAAAGATTTCAACGAATTACTTAAGCCTGAAGAGGAGGGATATTTCTTAGTGGTTAGGTGAAGGATTTGGGAATGGGAATTGTTGAATCTTGGGGTTTTTTTGCAGCTCGATTGCTAACTCACTGGATGACCTTGAGCAAGTTAATTAACCTGTCTGCCATTTCATCTCTCTGTAAACTGGGGAAAATAATGTCTGCTTCAGAAATGGGTTGTGAAGATTAATTGATTCTTAGAAAATGTTTTGGCTTCCCCTTGTGAAAAACATACTACAGAACTGTTATTGTTACTTTCCTAGCAACATGCGCATAAAATTTTTAAAGGCAACAGTAATGAAGACACATCTTTTTTGGCTGAAACAGAGGATTGCAGAGGGAAGGAAAAAAAAGGACAAATATTAAAATGACAGAATCAGCAAAAGAGAAGAAATAATGGAGACATCTGGCTCACTGCTGATAAAAGCTCTTGTAGTTTCTCTTCCATCATTCCTTGCAACACTCATCTGAAAGGACATCCACCAAGGCTTTCAAATGGGGTCACAAAACTGTTAATCTCTAATTCTGTTTGACCAAGTGTGAAAACAGAGTGAATAAAAATGCTCCAGCAATAGAATTTTCAGGAATAAATCAATCTCTTAAACATAAAATCCAGGGAGATTAGTTTGGTCTGTTTGAGTTCACACTTCTGTTTCTTCAAGCTGAACTCTTTTCAAGATACTGTCTTGGATCTAGACCTCTTGGGTTTGTGAGCTGGTGGTTGCCCTGAGTTTTAGCAGACTTTGATTTTGTTGACCCCTGTTGACCTCTATGGTGCATTTCAATGCAGATTTCTCTTAATATTTTCCTGGTTTGGGTCCCTTCTTGTCTTAGGATATCTTGACCAGTGCTGATCACAGGCTACATTGTTAGGTCTTTGGGAGCACTCTGGATAGGCGCTCTGGCTGCCTTGATTTCTAAGTCAGCAGATTTTTCCAAGATCTAGCTGGACTCCCAGGTACCCAGTCATTTCAGTAGTGCTCTTTGTACACCTAAACATCATTAATCAAACTTTCTCCCCCACAGAGCCTTTTGAAGGCAGAGTTATGGAAACAGATGATAGTTTTGGTTTTAGTTTGGAGTTCTTTGCTGCAGGCCTGGTGGGTGACATGAGGCTGCTGTTAGTTATGGAACCAGAGCTGCTCTCTGGTTTAGAATTTGCCGGTCTGGAGAATCATAATGCACTTCTCAGCCTCAGTTGCTTCAGCCTGTAAGAAACATTCTGCAGAGGCCTTTTTCGGTTCAGTTCTTTTTCTCTGACCTTGCTAGTACCCCGGCTGAGTAAGTCATGCTCCTACACATGCTTTCTGGACATTTGTTCCTTTTTTCCTGAGAAAAATTCCTTCTTCAGATTTTATTTCTGTGAGTCGTAAATTTTCAGGGTTTTTTGTTGTTGCGGTTTTTGTTTGTTTGGGGTTTTGGTTTTTTTGTTATTGGGAAATTTTGTTTCTTAGTCCTGGAAATATTATTTCTCTGGAAACAAGTAACTTCTTGCAGGCCTGTTTCTTTATCACGGACAATCAGAGTATGGTCACTGAAGCTTGGTACTCCCCATGGTTTCTTGTTTGGTGGGTACTTACTAGAGGCCATTGCAGCAAAGAGGAATAAATGCCTGCCTGTCATGGCCCAGCAGTTCTCCCTGGAACAACTTCTGAGTATGAGGTGTAATTGTGATATCACAGTTCTGAAGCATGAGGTCGGGAAATGAACTGCACAAATAGAGGAACTCTGAAGAACCAACTACTTTATTTTGATGGAAGTACACTAGGTGATAATAAATGAAGAGAAGTAAATGGAAAACTGTTGAAGATGGCAGCATGCTTGTGTCTAAATAGAGTTTATCATCCTAGATGTCAGCTGCTTTTACAGCAGCACACAATATATTTTTATACACCTTTTAAAAAATTATTTAAATTAATCTACTCTGCTGGGACTTTGCAGTCAAATAGAATAGGTGAAGACTGAAGTCATGCTTCTGAGTCTTGTTCCAAAATGAAGGAGTGCTTTTAGAGAATATAATTTTCCAAGCAGGTGCTGGTTTTTGTTTTGCTTACTGGTTTTGTCTCCAGTTGCTTCTGTGATGTCTTCTTATGATCTGTGAATTCTGATTTTTAATTAACCATTGTTCTTCTTTTGTGACTAAAAGAAGAAATTAATTTAATTAATAGCTGAGAGCCAATCACAGATGTGATACACTCACTATGAAACACCACGTTATCCATCTACAAAGGCTGTGGCACTGGCTTTCACTGCATTAGCTAAGAAAACACTGCTGGTAGAAACCATGTCCAAAAATCTCTCTGGGAATGAACAATGTATTCTGAAATCTGTCAGAAGTTTAGGGAAGGTTGTGCAGTGTGACTTGCCATGTCAAGCAACCCAACAGTACTGCAGATGCACCTTTGCATTAGGTTGCCTATATGAATACATATTGATGCAGTACAGAAAAACCAGAATTAAGCAGGCTTTAATATATTGAAGATCAATGTGTTAGATGTAACTTTAAGAATTAAAGCCACCTCTTACCAAATATGCTTATTTTTGGCAGACAGAGGTCTGAGCTTTTGCTCTCAGTCAGTACTCTTTGGCCCTAATATCTCATCTCTGCCATCCCGGATTGTTCCTGCTATTTCTATAAGAGTCACAAGATCTATGAATTTTAATGAAGTGAAATCTCCTGTTTTCAGCTGAGCCCAATGGTGGTGATGTTGAGAGCCATCTTGCTTTTGCAGCTGGCTTTAGGCAGCAAGTGACCTTGCTGTACAACTCCTGCATTCAGAACAATGTCACCTTCCTCTCTGCAGCAGGCAATGGGTTTTTCCTGTAGTAGGATTATGGATAGGAGGCTGGGCTTGATGTATCCAAAAGGCAAACAGGGGGAAGCAGAGATGGGCTTGAATGAAGCAGCAGTCTTCATAGCAAGGCTTTTGAGGAAACAGGTCTGTTCGTGTGTGTCATGGTTTGACACGGAAAAAAAGTTTTTCTCGGAAATAAGAGGTCAATTTGGATATTAACCAATTAAAGGTAGACACGCCTCTGAGGACACAGAGGAGTTAAAAGCAGAATTCCCAGGAGAACTCGCTCTCTTTGGTTCTGGTCAGGGTGCAGTGCAGCCTCTCCCCTGCCCGGCCCGTGGCTGGGTGGGGGAGGGGAAGGCCCATGGCCTGACTGAGGTAGGCCCAAGGGTGGAGGGGACTGGAACCCCCCTTGCAGATGGAAGGGTGGCGAAATCTGGGATGTCTCCGTTCCCCCCCCGAGTCTCTCTCTTTCGAGAGAGAGAAAGAGACAGCGGTGGTTTTGCCAGCAGTTCACCGTGGGGAAGGAGAAGAGCGGGGGGGGGCCGCAAGGTGCCCAGCCAGGCTGTGGGAGCTGGAGCCTGGGCAGTGAGCCATCTCTGGGAGTCGGGACTTTTAACCCTTCCTTGAGAAAAATGAAAGCTTTGTGAAATTTTTCTCCTCCTCGGGTTAAAAGAGAAGAAGAGAGACAGCTTGGACCCTGGGATGTTGGAAGGAGAAATTCTAGGTGGGAGGAAATGATGGAGTGGCTTTTGGCTGGACTTTTTCTTAGTAGCCACAGACTGAACCGATCTTCTCCTCCAAGAGAGACTGTATTTTAGGAGGATGCTGGTGAGCCAAAGAGACCTGCTTGGCTGGGAAAAGACAGAAGTGGAGCGAACAGAGAAAAGTTAAGGAGGTTTGTGGTGGTGCTCCCTGTCTTCAGAGAAGAAGAAGAGAAGAAGATCTCTGTTCTTAGATCCTTGGCCCCAGGGGAAAATGGGGGAGGACTGTGGTCCCAAAAATGAAAAACTGAACTGTTGTTTTTTCCCCTCTTGGCAGGGCATCCTTGAAAGGAAAAATCCTAAAAAGCAGTCTGTCCATCCATGCATTGGTGGTGAGAGCACTGTGCATGGAAAGGAGAGGGTCACCACTGGCAAACTTTTTTCTCCGGGCGGTGCCATGTGGTGACATGGAAGCACAGGATGTGGCAGCTGTGTTTCTTGGGGGTCTGTGGCACAGGAGAGGCTCCTCTCTCCCTGCAGATGGACTGGGTGTTGATTATCTGGAGGGTGGGAACCTGATTGGGGTCCAGATTGTGTCTCACTGTGGTTTATTAGAGTTGGGTGGTGGGAGGAGAAATGCTTTAAAAAGTTTTCACTTTCAATTTTCTGTGTATGTTTTTTTTTCCTTTCTTTTTCCTTTTATAGTAATATAGTAGTAGTAGCTTAATAAAGTTGTTTTTTTTCTTGTTATTAAGCTTGGGCCTACTTTGCTCTGTTCTCAATTGCATTTCACAGCATTCAATTGAGAGATTGGCTTTTCATAGGGGCACTGGCATTGTGCCAGTGTCAAACCATAACAGTGTGGAAGCCTGTCCAGCTCAGAGAAGAAGCTGTAGAATGTGAAGTTGTTGGCAAGACAATAAGCAGAACTCAGAGTGACTGCTGTGATCTCAGAGAGCAGTAAATTGGAGCTGAATCTCTGCTTGTGAGAGCTGGGGCTGAGATCTGTTTTCTGTATTTAGGGAGATGAATTTGAAAGAACCTTGAGGGCTAAATATTGCCCTTGTGCTTTATCGGAGTTGTCTCCCAGCAGAACTTTCTCTTTCAATAGAGGCTTAAACCTGTGCAGCTTAGGCCTTATCTTTTTCTTTAAACCTTCTTGTTTCTCCTCTGTTATTGGAAGCACTTGATTGTTTACCCAGGACTCAAGAGACCTGAATGGCTTTCCCAAGTATTTTACTTTAGAACTCAAGATGTTAAACATAGCATGATCTACATTTAGATCCTACCACCTGGCTGAAACCACTAAAGCTGTTAGCAAAGCCTTCAGAGGTGCAGCAGTATCTCCCAAGTCTTTCTGCAGTTTAGCACAGTGTACATGGACACTCGGGCTGTGTGGAGGTGGTGCAGGGGTTCAGGGATAATGTTTTCAGTAGGCTGAGTTTGCCTACCTGGCCTTGTTTTCAGCACCTTATAGCTCTGCTAAACTTCAACTGCTTGGGCTGACATTTTCCAAGCGTGATGTCCACACTGGGCAGTGCAGGGAAAAGTTTTGTTTAAAATAGTTCATCTTTGTTTTGCCTGAGCTTAAAAGCATTCCTGGAGATGTTCGCATGAAGAGCAGCCATTATCATACATAGCCATGTCCACAGTGCAGCCTTAGGTTGTAAACAGTGATGTGGTTTTGACAGTTGACATATAAATAATGAAAAGTTTTAACAGGAGGAAGCAATTTTACTGAAAAGCCAACAGCCTTTTGTTTTGTTTTGTCTTTGGAAAAACAACATTATACTGTGGTTCTTTTTATCTGTGCACAATCTTTTACTGGTCTCTCTGTGAGGCCATTTAGTGTTGGCCATTCCCTCTGCTTTATTGAAAAATATGGTCTAAGACTTCTCACCTACCTGTCCTCCTGCCTTTGGCCCAGCAATTCATTTTGCTTTCTCCAAAACCAAATCTATTCTTTTGATGATACATTCCATTCAGCTCCTGACCTCAGCTCCTGTGTGCTTCCCTTGTCCATCACAACCTCAGGTCAGTAAATGAAGACTCTAAGAAAATACCAAAATAAATATTGCCCATGGACTGCCATTCACTTGTGACTTGTGGTCATGAGGTAAAATACATTATCACATCCTGCTTTCTGCCCAGATTCTGTTTTCATTTGTTGTAGATGTCAGATGAACCAGGACTCTGCAGTCCTGAGGTGGTGGCTGTTTTGTGGACAGTTTGGAGGCTGAGCAGTAAGCCTAGCAGATGAGGACAGGTAGGAAAAGTCATGGTCACAGGCATTTGAATTGAAATTGAAAACTGGATTTTGTCACCCTTTGTGAAATTTACTGTTATGAAGCTTGGTGACTCAATAAAACTTACATTCTTCCCAACTTCTGTACATGTGGTCCCCATTTTCTGTGTGTCCACTTTCAGTCACCCATGACTAATTTGTGGAAATTCTGCCCACTGTACCTAGAGCAAAAAGGGCTGTGAGCTGTTTGTTCTCTGAGGAAAGAAGGTGCTAAGTACTCTGGAAGCTTAGGTTCTAAATTCCTTTAATAGAGTACCCAAAATATACTGACATGTTTGAAAATACTGCCTTTTATCTCTGTCCCTCAGCAGGGAGCTGTGAAGATAAGTTCCTTGATGTTTGTAAAAAACCCCCCAGCCCTCCAGCACTACAATTAGAGCACCACAATAGAAAAGCCAATGAGGAAATTAATCATTCTGTATGCAATGTGAGATCTGGATGCTCTGCAATAAATAGTACATGCACCACACACTGGATGATAAGGATAGGAGAAAATTTGAATAGTGTTCATTAAGTGAGCAACATTCATCCCTTGCACTGTAAAAAATGAGAGACCCATGGATACAAAAATCATATTATTAAAGATTGTATCATAGTATTTGTATGCTGGGCAAATTAATGCTCCATGGGTGATCTTAAATCTGGCATTCACTACCTTGCTTTTTTTTTTTTTTTTTTTTTTTTTTTTTTTTTTTCAGAAAGGGCAAAACTAATCTCTTTGGGGAGTTGCCAGTGGGGAGGGTAGAGGACATCCAACTAGGTGCTGTTGTGTGCAGCTAGGTATCAGTGCCTATTCTTTGTGTCTCTGTGTGTGTGTGTATGTGTGCGTGGCTAGCCCGTGCTTATGCAGCTGGCTGATGCTTCCCTTTGAAAAACCCTTTTCCAATTAAAAAAAAAAAAATAGAAGGGACATTGACAACTGCTAATGCCTGAGGTTTAGATTACAAAGTTTTATATAGTGTTTTGTGGTTCAGATCTTCCTTTATAGAGCCTCTGTTTGGTTCTGAGTCACCTAAACACCCCAAATCTGTTTGAATGATGGGCCAAGTGTTTGTGGGAGTTATCATAAGGTGCTTTTATGGTAGATCTTTTATGGCTGTGTTATTAGAAGGGCTGACATGCTGAGGATTCACAGAGACCAGTATTCAAGGTGCGCTGGAATGATAAAAAATATTAGTAGATGTAATTTGTTATATCTATGTTTGGTTTGATTACTGTCTTGTGTTTGAAATCTTGTAATTAGGGCAGTGAACTGCCTCCAGAGCCAGCACTGCTTCAGGTAATACAACACTAGGACGAGTTCCTTTGACTTCAGTAGGTGATTCTTCACAAAGAATGAAGGCTGGAGCCCATGTAAATTATACATCACCTCTGGGGAGCTGCAGATCACAGGGAGAGCAGGGAAATACTGAGGGCCGTCTCTCCCTGTTGAATAACTGAATTAGAAGTATAGATCCGTGGGAATCGGCAGCACCTTGACTTGCTCGATCCCCTCCCCCACTAGATGGCACTGAATTCTTTTTCTTTAAACGGAAAAAAAAAAAAAAAAAAAAAAAAAAGACAAAGGAAGAAAAATATGGTGGAGGTCATTTTGATGTAGAAAAGACCCCCAAAAAAACCAAAACAAAAAACCCCCACAAAAAACCCCAACCCCCAAACAACAACAACAACAACAACAACAACAAAAAAAACCCAACCAAACAAAAAAAAAAAAAAAGAAAGAAAAATAAAACGACGAAGAAATGTAAATTGCAATTGGTTGTGCATTTACTCTGTCCATTTACTCTGCCCTTCCCACTCCTAGCCCCAGAGCCCACCTCCGTGTACCTTTGTAGAGGCGTTCGCTTTGCTTTTGTGTCTGCAGCTCTCTGGAGGGGCGGCGGGCGATGGTCGCTGGAGGATGCTCAGGGAGCGAGAGCGATGCTGCAATGGAGAGGAGACCGGCCCTAGCTCTGGGACACCGTCCCTAGGGAGGGCTGGCAGGCAGCACGGCTGGGCACAAGGAGCCGCCTCTGAACACACTCACCGGGCTCCGCTCCTCTGTCCCGTGCCTTCAGACATGTTTTCCCGTGCACTCTGGCTTTCTCCGTGGATCACCGAAATCGTAACCCGCAGAAAAGAAAACCTCAGCTTTCATTCCGTCGCTGAAACTGCATTTTCACCTCCTGATTCATTTAAGAGCCATGAATTAACTCCCTGTGCTGAGATGTCCTTAATTCACTGTAGGGAGCGGTTTCCATGTCGTGTGTGCGTGGAGAGGTTGTGGGTTTTTAAATTTTTTTTTTAATGTCTTTCTCCTAGCTTACATTCATCAGAAGATCGACAAGGGTTGTTTTTTTCTCCCTGTAGTGAGGCAGGGTGGGGTGGGAGGAAGAAAATGTAATAATGATCTGTTTATGCTGAGAAGGGGCTGTCTGTAATAATCCCGGTTAGAGACATAGGGCAGGTTCCTAATGCCTGCAGCAAGCAATATTCTCCCCTCCCGAAAACAAGTGGTGATGATGTGGAAAAATGTTTAATTCTAAGAGTTAAAGAGGGGCTAAAATCCAACAATTTCTCTTACAGTTATATGTTTAAGGTGACTTGCAGAAAGATATCGACTGCATCTGATAAAGCTACAAATGCAAGCAAAGGGGGAAAAAAAAGCATAGAAACTGCCAGTAAAATGCCTTTTCAGAGAAAAAGATAAAACCTGGAACTGAATGTCAATTTGGGCTTTCAAAACCGTGCTTAAGAATGGGAAGAGGGAACAAGTCTGGCTTCTCCAGGTACAAAAGCCCTCATGCCCCAAACTGTCTTGCTGTCTTGGAATGTGATGGGAAAGCCTGGCACCTGAACCTCCCTGGGTCCCACAAAACCTTGGCTCTTTGGACTGAAATCCTAATGTTTAACGAGAAGGAAATGTAGGTGTGATTCCATTATATGATTTTCCCATCTTCTCACATATATTTGGCCAGCATAATGAGAAAAACCAGTTCTATTAGCTGGGTCCTGCGTTCTGCTCTCAGTCCTAGTCTTCCAGTTCTGTCTGAACTGGATGTTTAGGCAAAAACCAGTTTTATTTTCCAGTTCAATCTAAATAGAGAATAAGCATAGCAGGCTCTTGTGCTTGAACAGAAAATCCAACAATCAGCCAAAAAATATGGCTGGTAAAATTAGGCCTGTTCCCTGTTCTCATTCTTCAGCTTGGGACTTGCTGCTAAAACTGACAAAGAAATCCAGATGCATTTTCATCTCTGTGTGGATGTGATACAAGAAACCTCCATGTTCTTATAGGAGCCAACAGCTTTTCACCACAAAACTCTAAATTTTATTCTGAACAGACAACAAGTATGGCTGCTCCAGGCCTACTGTAACATCTAATTCTTTCTATCTACTGACACGTAGTTACTTGAAAAATCCAGTTATAGAAGTGGATCCATCTGTGCTGAACTATTAAAAAAAAAAAAACCTGAGATCTTTAAATATTGGCTGTTATTATTAACAACAAAGGGAAGTTATTATTAAAAAAATTAAACTAGTCCCTTTTTCCAGTAAAACTCTTAATTTTACTTAGACCTTTCCAGATACAGTGAATATTCATAACACAACACTGAAATTTTGCAATAGACCTGGTTCAGTAGATGCAGATGATTATAACCTTTATGGTTTGAATGGCTGACTTTTCTTTGTCAGTTTCATAATCCTGCAAGGTGGTTAGAGAATACAGTACATTTCACACCAAAAATGGTTTAATGACACAGATACTCTTCCATAGGTGCAATCCCACTTGGTCTGGACCCTGGTTTTGCCAGGTAAAATGGGAGATATTTTGGGTTTGTTTTTTTTTTTTTTTTTCAATAATAAAATTTGATTTGGTGCCAAAACTTGTTATGGTCCAGCCATACAGGTTAGTATTTTCCTGGTACAGCTGTATTGTACAAGACAATCCAGGTATGTATTTCTGATCCACAAAGAGCTACCACATCTGCTCTCCCCACTGGAGCAAGTATAATTTGGGTGACTAAGGTTAAAAGGAAGCAAAATCTCAGGGCTCCCCTCTTGAGGACAAGAGCTGTCACCAGCCCCACAGAGGCTGTGCTTATTTTCAATTCAGATGACACAGCTTGGGATTCAGGGGCCAAAAGCTACTAGGATCCAGCATGGATATAGATTTTTGTAGCATACATCTGTGGGGAGGCATTGGTCTGTGGACTTTTTGGTGCAGTAGGAGCAACTGCATTGTTTTCCTTTCACGCTGTGGAGTCATGGGGAGCCAAATATTGTTTGGAGCTAATTTGGTTCCTCTGTCAACTGCAGGATGCTGTGGTCAGGATGTGCAGCATCCAGGCCTTTTTGGTGCAAGGGAAATGACCATGTGTATTTCTTCTTCAAACAGTACATTTCACAGTCTGGAGGCCTCAGCGTTCTGGATCTAGAATCCAGGATTTCTTTCAAGCTCATTCTCTCTACTATGTAGCAGGCTGGGATTTTTTTGGTGCAGTGAGAAACAGCTCCACTTGTTTTGGATTTGGTTGACATAATGTAAGGGCTTCTGATCAAGAATGATGAAGATCCAGTTAAATCCAGGTTTTACATTTTCCCCTCTTAAGAAAGGAGGGCTCTGACATTTCCTGCCTGGGAAGTGGTGCAGTTTATCTTTAAGGAGGATAGAGAAATAAGAAATGAGTCTCACGTTGCATGGGTGACATCACTGGCTTTTGGCTCAGCGCTCTGTATGCTCGGTCTGTAGGCTTCGGCCAAGGCTGCAGGGCTCGGTGTTTGAACGAGGAAAGAATCCCAGGTGTACAGAAGATCGGATTTGCTATTATTTGGGTTAAAAACGGTGAAATGAGATTTCTAAAGCTTGGGGACTGCAGCTCGCCTTCTGTTGCATTTGATCTCTACAAGATGGGTGAGTTATTCCCATTAAAGAGAAGGGGAGTGAAAATTTAAGGAAGAAAAAAAATATGTCTGAATATATAACTACTGATGCCGGGGATACGATTCGTACCAAGCTGCTGAGCTAAAATATCTCCGCTCCGACCAGGAGATCGGGCCATATGGCAGAGAAATGGTGCAGCCCGAAAGCTGTTGACAACAGTTAGGGGCTGCTTTCCTCTCCCCGTGTAAGGTGTGTAGCTCCCCACCACCTCCGCCCCTCCGCCCCTCCACCACGGTTTGTTTTGGTTCGGTTTCCCCCGACCTCCCTCCCCTCCCCGTTCCTCAGCATCCTCTCCGCCAGCCGTAGCCCTGCCTGCCTTCATCTTGCAGATGGCTAACGTGCCGCCGTGTTAGGAAAACTGTGCACAACACATCCCAGCGCCGGGGACGGAGGAAGCTTTTCAGCTGCCAGCGGAAGGGGGGCAGCAGCGTGTGTGTGTGCGTGGAAGAAGGATGCCGGGGCCGAGGGCAGCCCCCCGCGCTGCCTAGCGGCTCCTGCCGGGCTGCGGCTGCTCCCGCCGCCCTGCCCGGCCCGGAGCCGGAGGCTGCCGGAGCGCTGCCCGGGCGCGCCGGGGAGAAGGCAGCGCGCCGTTCGGCTGCCTGGATGACAGCGCCTACGACAAAAGCGGGAGAGTGAAAGGGAAGGCTGGCAGAGAGAAGCCGAGGTGTCTCCGAAGCCAAGATGCCAGTGGCTGTCAGCGAAGTCTGCTGAGGGAGAGACCCGTGCATGCCCGCGTTCCCAGAGCCAGCCGGGGAGGGGATGCTTTAACCACGATTTCAAACAGCAGCAGCAGCAGTAGCAGCGGCAGCAGCAACAACAACAACAGATTGCTCCCCCACCTCACTCCCTCCCTTTCGACCCCGCTTTAAACCCAGGCAAGTGACCGACCGTCCAGACGATGATGCTCTTGCTGAGCCACTGACAAAGAAAAAACAAGTCACCCATTCCTGACATCGGGACAACTGGCTGCTTGCAAGTGGGAGATGTCAGGCTGTTGAACTTTTCTGTCCTGTGATGATGCTGTAGTGAGCTTGCTGATCTGATAGCCATCTCTTCTGGATTTCTGAGCGGGCCAGATTGAAAGAGATTAATGGACTGATCAGCCATCAGCAGTCTTCAGGGGGATTCATCCCTTCAGCCCCTGTTACTTGGGTGCTTGTGGTGAGGGGGTCACTGGTGAAAGTCTGTGTTTCTCCTCACCAGGTCTCCTCTGCAGAGAAGAAGAGGCAGATGAGACTCCAAGACTGCCTCCAGAGCAGAACTTTGTAGTGCTCTCAGCATCCCTCTGCAGCGTGGATGTGAGCCATGGGAGCTGGGGATGTTTGAGGCAGTCTGTGCCAAGTGACACCTAGCAGCTGCTCCGGTGGCTTTTGCATGGTCTCACCCCCAACGGCTTTGCCTGTTGTGAAGATGTCCATGGTGTTTCTGTGAAGCTGAGGCATGGCTGCTGGAAGGTTACTGCTCTATGCTGGCCTCTCTTTAGCTCTGTGTGCCCTTGGCATGCTGGCTGTGGCAATCTGCTCTGATCATTGGTATGAAACTGATGCCAGGAAGCACAGGGAGAGGTGCAAGAGCATCACCACTAAGAGAAATGATCCTGGCTTCATTTATAACTCCAACAACAACCTGCCTCTCAGGGCCAGCAGGTCTAGGTTGGACCGCTGGGAAGGGAAACTCCTCTTGGCAAGAAACAGGAGGCAGATCTTTGCTATGAGCGCAGTCGATGAGTGCAACAGACAGTACAACTCCACCAATATGGGGCTCTGGAGGAAATGCCACCGACAAGGATTTGACCAGGAGCTGGAGGAGCTGATTGCCAAAGGTAAGGGTTGTTTTTTTAACCAGATGAACATGCCAAGCTCTTCTGAGATGAGCAGGGGCTGAGCAGAGCCTTTGAGCTCACAGATGGGAGCTGGTGTCTCTAGCCAAGTACCTCTCCTTGCAACGGATGAACTGGCCTGGCTGGGCATTGCTTCCAGAAGCACTGCCAGGGAAATTTCCCACAGGATATCTGCTCCTGAGACATGGGGTTTGGCAGCAAGAAGGGAATGAGGGTGAGAATACACACACTCCAGAATATCATTTTCATGCCTCTCTCTCTAATCTGGATATTGTCTTCCCATCACCATGGTATCAGATTATTTCCACACACAAATAAGAAGCATTCATAAAGCAGACACTCATAAAGCAGACACTGGATTTTTCCTTTTTTTTTTTTTTTTTTTTTTTTTTTCAGTTTGTTTGACCCTGGTGGCTTGGGCAAAGTACATCATATTTTATTGGAGGCTACATGTGTCTGTCTTTCTGAATATCCCATCTATCCTGAAATACACCATTTGCAGTGCTCACTTGTAGGCTTTTTCTATCCTCAAATGGAGAGTAAACAAAGAGAAATGCTAAAGAGCAGGAGGAGACCCAGCTTGCTATTTACACGGAGCTATACTTTGGAATATTTTCAATATCTACAAAACATTACATGAATTTATTAGAAAGGAATATTTTTCTCTTGGGGTGGAGATGCATCAGTTTGCCTGTAGCATTTTTGTGCTATTTTTTTTCTAGTCTTTTCATCCTTTGTCTTAATTTTCCCCCCAGGATAGTGGTTCAAGGTGATGGTCATTTTGCCCCAAATGTTTCTTTGATCTGAAGTA